TTTTGATACAGAGTTTCGGTCTGTCCCTCAGGCTGGAGTGCAGTGGCGCAATCTTGGCTCACTGCAACCTCTGCTTCCCGGGTTCAAGCAATTCTCACGCTTCAGCCACCAGAGTAGCTGGGATTACAGGCACACACCACCATGCCCAGCTAGTTTTTTGTATTTTTGGTAGAGACGAGGTTTTGCCAGGTCAGTCAGGCTGGTCTTGAACTCATGACCTCAAGTGATCCACCTGCCTTGGCTTCCCAAAGTAACAGTGGGGATTTTTAAAGGAGAATCCTGCCTGTATAGGGTGTGTGCCCTGGGCTTTCGGTTCTAGCTCTTTGTAAGTAGGATTCCATCCTGCTGGTGTCATTGTTGAAATTCAGCAGAAGATTGGCTCTTGGACTTGACATCCAGAAGGTGTTCTGATGCCCATCACCGGGAATACACTGTACTTTAGGACTAGATTTCAGAAGCATCTTCAACCCTGGTTTTTAGGACTGCAAAATGCTTTTACAGTGACCCCCCCCAACCCCCACTGCTGCTCTATCATGTGGGAATGTGCTGGATGATTGAAATCTTGGCAGGTGGTGGGTGAATAAAGCCAATAATACGTGGTCCAAGACAGCTTTTTCCCAGGACAGCATGTTTCTAACATTCAGCAACGTGGTACTGAAGACCCCTAGAATCCACAAAGAAATGCTGAAAGTTTGTCAAATAATTCTCAACCCATCTCTGAAAATTTGTGGTTTCTTAAAAGAATAGGTCATGTTCACTGTCACCTCAATCTAAGAGAGAATAATTCAAAATGAAGGCCCCAAGGCTAGTTGGATGGAAAAGTGTCCATGGAGTGCTGTGTTAGCGGGAGGTGTTGCTGCCAATCATATTTGCTTTGCAAAGAAGGAAGTGCTGTTTGACTGGGAGATGCTGGTATCGACCCCTTGATCAGTGTCATTGATTCCGTCATCTGCTGGATTGATTCTGTCACTCAAATATGGGCTGCTCTGTCATCTGCTTTCAGTTCACTAACTTTGAGTAGAGGTAACAACCCACCGTGTCACTGGGAATGGAAACTAGAGCCTTTAACAATGTCTCAGTTTTTGCCTCTTGGCTCCATCAAGAACTTCATAGAGTTAAACCACAAAAGGATCTTCTGAAGAGCTCACGTGGGCTCACCTGTGTAGGCATTTTGACAAAGGGTAGCAACAATGGCATTCAAATGTATAAATTCATTGCTTTATATAGTGCCTGTGCGTTTACCAATTTTTTTTCCCATCTAAGCAAGGACACAGTTTATTATCCCAAGAAAGCCCAAAGGCTGTATAATATTGTGTCCTTTTTTTTTTTT